TACTGTATCTAACCTGTATATATTTGAAGGCTCTTTTGGCAGAAGGTTTTGAATAATCAAACAATTTAAGTGTGTAGTCCCTTGAACCAGATGCCAGGATCTGTTCTGTTGGATGGAAAGCCAAACATGTCACTTCATCCACGTGATCATACAGAGTCCGGATAACAGGGTGGTTTTCCATGTTTTGCTGTGCTGTCTCATTCATCATGACCTACAGGGAACATTCAGCAAAGTTATTGTTAGAAACCAGAATGTTTTTGACAAGAAAAGTAGGTTCTAGGCTTGCCAAACAGCAGTTCCTTTCCAACATAACCAGGCACACAATCTTTTTTCTTCATTGTTTTGATGCCTCAGAATTTTTAAGACTTTTAGCAAATACAGATTTTTAGTATGGCTGTAAAGTTTCTCACACTTTAGAATAGCAGCTGACAGTTACCAAATCTGTTCTCGTGCTTCATATTGAATTTTCTACAGTCTTCAGGCTTTTTTAATGTTCTTCTCAAAGAAAAAGACTTTTAGCAAGGACATTCCATTGGGACATGCACCTGGACTGGAATAACAAGATATGTGGTAGACAAAATAAGATATAAGGCCCAGGACCCTTGGAGGGGCTCCAGTGGGGCAGTTCTGAGGGTGGCACCAGGGCAAAAGGACTGCATGTACCCACTAGACATGATAATTAGTTAAAGATATAAAAGTGTAAGAATTCTGTATGTAGGTGTGTGCCTATGTATTGTGTGCACCTGAAGGCCTTCATTAAAGAGCTGCTCTCTATCTCATTTATACTGATATTGTTTGGAGTATTTTTTCTTCCATTTTAGGCATCAGTTTGAAGGCCTCTTATATACTGTCAACGAACTAAATCCCTGTATCTTTACATAGGTCGAACAACTTGCTCAAGGACAAACTAGTTTCAGTAGCAGAAAACTGATGAAAGAAAACATCACCTTCATAAACAGCCCAAAGCAAAACACTGCACTGCTATAAGAACTGAGGGAAGCTGCACCAGAATTGCAGCTTTTTGCTGAGAATTTAGTGTGCACTCTGTGCAAAAAAGCCCACTTTTAAATGCCACCTGATAACTGCCTTGGAAAAAGATAAAGCAAATCAGTATGTACTGTATCAAACAGTTTTGAAACACCCAGTGAAACACGTCGCCATGGGGGGCTGCAGAGGCCAAAAGTGCAAGTGGGTTCAAGGTAAACTGTGTTCAGACAATACAGCAAAGACCAGCAACCAGGGGAAGCAATTCCTAACTCAATTCTCTCTCTGCTGCCAGGAGTGACACAGGTGTCCTTGCCCTTGTTCTTCCTTTTCTTCCAAGGTCTACGAGCCACTGTTGGTGCAGGAAATACATTGAGACAGGTATTTAGTCCCACCCACGGAGGCAGACACACAATACAGACATGGCAAGGACACAACTCCCAAAGGGTTACAATTCCTGTGTCACCTCAATGGGCATGGCATGGACACAACTCCCAAGGGGTTACAATTCCCGTGTTACCTCAATGGGCATGGCACTCTTGGCCAACATCCTCTCCGTATCCAGGATTTTGATGGAGGCATCAGCAGAGCCCGTGGCTATTAACTGTCCATCTCTGCTGTAGGTGGCCACACGACAGGGCCCTTTGTGAGATGTGACATAGCAGGTCTCATACTCTGAGGCCTCAGGAGACATGGTCTGCACGTCTGCATCGAATTCCAGGTCAATTCCCGTGCCCGGAGCCACCGTATCCGACCGGCCTATTGCGTATTGGACAGCGCTGTCATCGTTCTCCATGCCTGGAATGAGAGAAGGGGGGGCACTTAACCAGGGGAACCTTCTCCTCAGACAAAGAACAGACCCTGTCATGGCTCCAGGGTGGGTTTTGGGAAAGGGAACCCCGAGGGGCAAGGTAGAGCTGGCAGAGCAGATTCGGTCACACAGCAGCACTTGTGGTGAGCAATGAATGAGGTGCTTGGGCTGCACCAGAGCAGGCACAGCTCAAACTAACTGTGGAAATACAACCAGTGAATATTGTAGTGTTCAGTGCTGGTAAATACACTGAGAATCAGCTACTGGCCACGGACAGCCCTCTGCTCAGCTTTTCACAGGGGGTGAAACAAACCCCAACACTATTACGAGTTTTAAAGTAAAAAAATGAAGCATTCACTGATTCTTTTCTTACTTTATTGCACTCAAGAACAGATTTTTGCTGCTTTCATCTGCAAATTTCAAGTCTCTCATTCATATTTCAAACAGACACGAGGTCTCATGTATTTATACCCTTGGAACTCAACCAGTTCAGGCAGCAAAACCAGCTGAGTTACAGACATGATGTCATGGTCAGAGCTCTTCCAGGACTTGTCAGCTCATTCCAAGAGCAGCTCAGGTGTTTTCCCTACACACTGAGGCCCTTCCAGAGAGAAGGTACAGGGAGAAGACACACGAAACCTCTGCTGAGACCTCAGACTGGGAAGATTTCCTGAAGACTGATACATAAAAGCCAGCAAAGATTGCCAATGGAATGACTTGCTCCCCTTCCAGCACTGCCAGGAAGAACCACATAGAAACTATTTCCAAAGTTGGCAGAACTGTGAGGGTAGAGTTTTCTCTCACATCTGTGGACTCAGTGATCATCTTCACTGAGGTGTTTTTAGAAAGCTGCCACTCACCCAGGACCCAGGGCAAGTGTTCTTATACGGTACAGGAGTTCAGACAAACAGATCTGGACAACACTCAGAGATCTGTGTTGCTTTTAATGCTCACTAAAGGATAACACAGGAATGCCCTCCAAAAAAACACCACAGAGGCAAAGGCTGTACCCAAATATGAAGTGTGGTGCTATTACCAGACACAACCTTTGCATCAAAGATGTGTTTCCAGTGACACCAACCTCTTCATTCACTGGGGATTTAGAAACTAGACTTTTATGTCAGCTTTTGGTTGTGGCTTACCTAACTTAATTAGGTGCAGCAGTTGTTCAGATGGAGCACAGACAGACTGAGGTTTGATCTCATTTATCAAGCCATTGGCAATGTTGATGTATCCATCATAGAGCAGCTGACTAATGATCAGTTTGTAAAGTTGCTGACGGTCTTTCAAACTGACTTTTGTCCTATACATTGTGAGCAAGGACTGCCTTGGAGGGGCCTGAAACGGAGAAGAAAAATCACATACAAGAGAGTTGCATGAAACCACCACAACCTTCCAAGAAATTTCAGTGCGGGCACCAAATATTGCCGTGTTTTAAGGGGAGGAAAAACCTGTTTCACTTGTCTGCAGCGGAAATGAGAATCTGGCCCATACCCGGGCCCGGCACTGCACGAAGCAGCCCCGGAGCCCGCAGCGTTACCGAGGGACCGTGCCGGTGCTCCCGGCGGGCCCGCGCTCCGATGGATGGATGCACGGGGCGTGCAGGGCAGCACCGCGCCGGCCCCGCCGTCCTCCCCCCGCGGTCCCCGCGCCCTGCCCGCCCCTCCCGCGGCCCCGGGCGGTGCCGGGTTGCCGTGCGGGCGGCCCCGAGCCCCGCGGTCCGGTACGTACCGACCCTTCCTTCTGCCGCCCGCGCTCTGCCCCTAAGATGGCGGCGGGAGCGCGGAGCGCATCGAGCGGCGGCGGCGGCGGCAGCGGCGGGGGCGGCCGGGCCCGCAGGACGCTCCTCCGCGAAGGCGGCTGCATCGAGCGCCCGCACATCGATGGGAGGCGGCTCTTGAGGGGGGGGCGACAGAACGGGGCGGCGTCACGTGACCGGGCACCGCGTGGGTCACGTGACGCGGGAGGCGGAGGCCCCAGGGGGGAGCCCGGGGGTCCCTCTGCCCGCTCCAGGGATCCCGGGGGACCCTCTCCCCACTCCCTCTTCCGGGGGTCCCCAAGGTCCTATTCCCCATCCCAGGAATCCCGGATGTCCCTCTCCCCATTCCCCCCAGCAGGGATCCCCCGGGGGCCCTCTCCCCGTTCCCCCTTCCGGGGATCCAGAAGTCCCTCTCCCCATCCCCCCAACCAGGGGTCCCGAGGGTCCCTTTTCCCGTTCCCCCTTCCAGGGGTCCTTCTTCCCATTTCCCCTTCCGGAGGTCCAGAGGTTCCTCTCCTCATTCCCATTCCCCTTTCCGGGATTCCCGGAGGTCCTTCCTCTTATTCCCCTTCCCGGGGATCCCGATGGTCCCTCTCCCCATTCCCACTCCCACTCCCCTTCCAAGTGGTCCCGAGGATCCCTCTCCCCACTCCCCCTTCCAGAGATCTCGGTGGTCCCCATTCCCCGTTCCAGGGCCAGCGGGCCCTCGCTCCGTGCGGGCTGCGGGGCGGGCTCAGCGCGGGCCGTCCCCGCACAGGACGCAGGCTGGGGGGGAGGCCCGGGGGGTTCTTTTGTGTCGCAGCCGCGAAGCTCCGAAGCGGCGCTTCCACCAGAGCGGGATCCCCCCCGGGGCCGTGCCGGGGCTGGGCTATAAGTTGCCGGGCGCTGCAGGCCGGCCCGGCCCCGCCGGCGGCGCCTCGCCCCGCCCGTGCCCAGCACAGCCCGACCCCTCCCCGGTCCTACTCACGTCAGCCTCGAGGAAGGGCAGGCGGAGCGGGCGCGGGTCGAGCAGCGGCGCCGCCATGGGCGCTGCCATGGCCCCCATGCCCCGGGGCAGCTGTCGTCTGTCACACGCTGCGGCCACTCGGCGGCCCGACATCTTCTTCTTCCCTATCCTGACCCGCTTTGCAAACACCCACACACAACAACCAGGGGCTCTCTCCCTTCGCTCTTGTTTTCAGCACCGCGGGCGCAGCGGAAAGTTGCCTTCGGTCTCGGTTCTTCACTGGATGGAGTTTTTTCCTCCTTGGGCAGCCGCGGAGCCTCACGGGGGCCCCGGGGCAGCACCGGCACCGCCTCACAACTCACGGGCCGCACTCGCTGTCCCGGCTCTGGCCGGGTCCGGGAGTGCCACACGCGGGGTCCGCGCGTCCCTCGGGCCGCTGCCTTCGCACTGTAACGCCCGCGGCACGTGGCGCTGCCCGCGCTGCCGGGACGGGTCGGGAACGCTCCGGGGACGCTCCGGGAGAGGCTCCGGCCCTGCTCGGCCCGTCCGCGGGATCACCCACACAATGGCCCCGGCGGCGCTGGGCCCCGCGCGCGGCGGTGCGCGGAGGGTGCGGAGTGGGCGCGGGGGGCGCGCGCGTGTGCCGGAGGGGGCGGCGGGACTGACCTGGCGGCGCGGCGGGGGCGCGGGGCGGGCGCGCCGCCCCCTCC